GGGTTTAGGGTTTAGGGTAGATAGTTTGCACAACTTAATGTGACTGCTCCTTGCAGTAGCAGCCCCGTCTCCTAGTTTACGGAATCCCCAACAACCATGCTGAATCCAAAAAGCAAACATGTAGCAAGTCCGCGTACTGATCAGTAACTGACAAAGCCATCTAAGCCCTATTGTCTGGAAGGCACCCTCCTCAGCAAAGTAAAGAAACAAGCAAAACGGTGCCCCCGGCCAGAATCGCTGCATCCGACACTCGGGAAGGTCGTTCTTCGAACAGTGCAGCAGCGAGAAGATCATCTTCTCCTTCAGCTCTCATTTCTACTTGGAGGATCATGGGACTTAGTAAGTAGGGTTATAAGTACCTTAATTGGGGTTACAAGTAGTTATAAGTATAGTTACTTTAATTATAACCCTAGTTACTAAGTCCCATGATCCTATAAGTAGATGCAATTGTCCGGAAGTCTTTGCGTTTTTAGATTCCCCCTGCCGGCACTTAGAGTCCTTAGGGATAAGGCTTCCATGAACCACCTTTCTTGAGCGAATCAACCTAGAAAGGCATCCTTAACATGATTTGAGGTATATGCCCTATCAAGGGGTGTGGGGGGTCTCAAAGTAGTGGTGTAGGTTTTTGTTTTCAGAATGTGCGTATGCCCTACGATCTATAGGGCTTTTTCTGGTGTGTAGGACTGGGTGTTTAAAGGCGTAGAGTTTGGGGACATGGGTCTGGGTAAGGATCCTGTGTTGGGTTTGGGGTTGGGGTTTAGGGCTTATTATAGGGTTTAGGGTGAAGGTTCAGGGTCTTCGATCACAGCCTAGACTCTAGCCTAGACCCCAAGCCCTAGTTAGTAGGCCCTAAACCGAAAGACTATCCCAATAAGGAGCACCCTAAACCCTAAACTCCCAGAACTTCGTCCAGGTGTCAAACTCTGGATACTCAATGACGCCAGACTTGTCGGTGTCGAAGTGATCGAACTTCGTCTTGACTCCTGTGTGCCGGTGAGAAGTTCAGGCCGTCGGGGTTTGAGGGTTTAAGGGCTTCAGGGTTCAGGGTTTGGGGGTTTAGGGTTTAGCATTTAGGGCTTAAGGGCTTCAGGGTTCAGGGTTTAGGGGTTTGGGATTACAGTTTTGTGGCTTAGGGTTTAGGTTTTGCGGGTTT